GTCAAAGGCGGCAACCTTTGATCTTTTATTGCACTCTTTTATTACGCTCTTTGTTTACACTTTTATTACACTAAAATTAAAATATTTTTAGCGTCCTTTTTTAAACTTTATAAAAAGGAAGAGTGACATGTGACATGTCAAGAAAGTGTTGAGGGGTCCGTCAAAGGCGGCAACCTTTGATCTTTTTTTTTATTACTTTGTTTACTACTTTTTTATTACTTTGTTTACTACACTTATTACTCTAAAATTCAAATATTTTTAGCGTCCTTTTTTTTTAACGTTATAAAAAGGAAGAGTGACATGTGACATGTCAATAAAGTGTTGAGGGGTCCGTCAAAGGCGTCACCCTTTGATCTTTTTTTTATTACTTTGTTTACTACTTTTTTTTATTACACTACAACCTGTCAAAGACATGTTACCATCTGTCCATGACACATTACCATCTGTCCAAGACATGTTACCATCTGTCGAAGATGGGCAATAAAATTCTTAATTATTGATGACCTTGACATTTAAAAAAGCCCGCCAAATTTTAAGACGCGTTAATTGGACAGAATATTGAAGTATAAATATCGTAAAATTTTAACTACCTCATCATTCGCGTATATTTTTACACTTTAATTATTAAACGATAAATCAAATTATTTAAAATTTTTTATTTTTTAACTAAATTATTTAAACTTTTTCACTTTTTAATAAAATTATTTAAACTATTTCATTTTTTTTAATTTTTATTACCAAAATTATTTAAACTTTTTATTTTTATTATCAAAATTATTTGAACTTTTTATTTTTATCACTAAATTTATTTAAATTGCTTCATACTTTATCACTAAAATTTTTTAAATTACTTATATTTTATCACTAAAACTATTTAAACTTCTATTTTTTTTATTTTTATCACTAGAATTATTTATACTATTTCATTTTTTATCACTAAAATTATTTAAAATTTTTTTATTTTTTAACAAAATTATTTATTAAATTGCTTCATACTTTATCACTAAAATTTTTTAACTTGCTTCATATTTTATAACTAAAATTATTTAAACTTTTTATTTTTATTACCAATTTTTATTTTTATTACCAATTATTTTAAATTGATTTATTTTTTATCACTAAAACTATTTAAACTTCTATTTTTTTATTTTTATCACTAGAATTATTTATACTATTTCATTTTTTATCACTAAAATTATTTAAAATTTTTTTATTTTTTAACAAAATTATTTATTAAATTGCTTCATACTTTATCACTAAAATTTTTTAAATTGCTTCATATTTTATAACTAAAATTATTTAAACTTTTTATTTTTATTACCAATTTTTATTTTTATTACCAATTATTTTAAATTGATTTATTTTTTATCACTAAAACCATAATTTTTTATTTAATTGAGCTTAATATTTTATATAATATAATTATTTAAATTGTTCATTTTTTTATTAATAATTTTTTAAGTTTTCTATAATTTATTATAAATGGATCAACAACCACCAAAAAAATATACTCGATTCACTATCGAGAATTTATTAGGACTTCAGTCCATATTTTCTATTTTTCAATCTGGAAGCGGTGTGAAAAAACCGGAGGAATATGTCGAACTTCTTGAAAACGACATTTCTCACAACGCTAAATTTAATTTTGTTAAAACTCACTCCAAATTTTCTATCAACGAATTACCTGAGAACCCCGAAGAATTATTAAAAGGTTAATTTATTAAATAATTAAAACTGATTTATTTTAGGAATTTTTCAATCATTAATTGATAAAGCAGTGGATGAGAGCCGCAAACGCGGCTTTGAACCGGAACAGATAGGCTGTGTAGTGAGTAGCCCACTATTGGATCATGATATATGGGTACCAGTGAGGTTGGTTTAGATTTATTAAAAATATTTTTAATAAAATTTTGATTTTTCAGAGATAGAAATGAAAATACGGTTGAGGCAATCCTCAACCGTTTTCTACTCGTGGCCCAGAGTTTCCGACAGAAAAATGTTACTCTCTGGGGGCAGCCGTTTACTGTTACAGTTACGACTGTTAATAAAAGCGGACTTCCAAAACAACGTAAACTACCCGGAGCAGGACGCAATCTTCCACCTGTTCGTCATCGAATCAATGATCAATCATTGATTAAGGTCAGTTTACCAAGTTTTTAAAAGATTTTTGAGATTTAAAACGTATAAAATTTCCAATATAATATTTTTGATTTTTAAAATTAAAGTGGGGAAATTAAAGTGGGAATGAAATATTAGGCTCGGATAAACGTATAACATTGAATGATATATTTTATTTTAGATTCGAAATCAAGACAGTTTCTGTCTTTTCTACGCTTTAACTGCAACATTGATGCATGGAATATGTAAATGGTCAAGAGTCAAGTTCTTCCGTTACCTCCGTAGTGAGTATGGAATGACAAATCGATTCAGAGAAGATACTATTGAATTAATGGAAGAAGTTGGAGCACCAAATTCTCAACAAGATTACAATGCTGAGGAATGGGTGCCTATTGTGGTCGACTACTGGAACAACAAGTATAGAGGACAACATAAGTTCAAAGTATTTGTATTCGGTTCCCTTGGTCACTACACACCAATCTTCAAGTATGGACCTAATGACTTTGATATTCCTATCATAATTTACTATAACAACAAACACTTTGATGGTGTAAAGAGTGCATACGGGCTATTTGGAAGACCATACTGTTTATCGTGTGAAAAAGTATACGATAAACCCTTCAAACACCCAATTAACTGCAAGTCCCGTTGTAATAAGTGTTCAAGAATCGGGCCGAATTTTCCCTGCATCATAATCGACGGATTTCAAAAACTTTGTCAATTATGCAACAAGATTTTTTATAACAACAATTGTTATCAACATCACCTTCAATCTGGGTTCTGCAACAAATCAAAACAGTGTGAGAAGTGTGGAGTCATCTGGAATGTAAAGGATAACAACAAAAGAGGGCGAAAGGGTCATGTTTGCGGCGAACGTCATTGCTCCACCTGCAATGATTATCATGTACCAAAGAGAGGATGTTTCATCAAGCCTCTAGATCCCAAAGACAACAAAAAATATCGCATTGTCGCATTTGATCTTGAAACAACACAACATCGTCAATCAGGACCTGGAAAGATACATGAGCCTAACTTCATCTGTGCTAAAGTCACTTGCCCTGAATGTATCTTGGAAGTAAGTTTTTAAAATGAAAACTTGTAATCTCTAACTTTTTTAGGAAAAGGAATGTAAAGTTTGTGGGGATAAAAGGATTGTTACCTTCTCTCATAAAGCCTTTACCAGAACAACAGTTGATAAAATGGTTGTAACTTCTAATCCGCTAGAATCCTTCATCGACTGGCTTCTAGATGAACTTCCACAGGAATTTGATACTTATGCCTTTTCCCACTTTGGTGGACGTTTCGACATGGTAATTGTCTTCAAGGAAATATTTTTGAGAGGTGAATTTTATTTAATAAAAGAAAATAGGAAAAAATTTTAAGGTTTCACACCTGAAATGTTAAAGAAGGGAAACAAAATGTATGAAATGAAACTTGTTTCACGTGGAAAGAATAAAGGGAACATAATCTTCCGTGACTCCTTCAATTTGATGCCAATGTCCTTGGCATCTCTTGTTCCTGCCTTCGGCCTTCAAGTTGAAGACAAGCCGTTCTTCCCCCACTTGGCTAACAATCCGGAGAACTACGGCAAGGAGATCTTCCCATCTCCTGCAGATTATATGGCTGATGGAATGATGCCGGATAAAAGGAAGGTGTTTGACGACTGGTATCAACAACATCGCCATGAACCCTTCAACCTTGAGGAGGCTCTCGCGTCTTATTGTACCAACGACGTAGTTATTTTAATGGCCGCTCTAATTGCGTTCCGCAATGAGTTTATAGAGGTAATTGTTTTAGACAATTAAAACTTTTTTATCTTCAGGTTTCAAAGCGTGAGGCAGGGCAAAGACCAGCCTCAGACAAGGCTCATGAGGGAATTGACGTGCTCCGTGAAGCCATGACCATTGCTTCAGCATGTATGAAACACTTTAGAACAAACCATCTCAAGGTTGATCATGTTGGCATTGTTCCAGAACGTGGGTACGACAATATTGAGAATCAAAGCAAAATGGCCTTAAAGTTCCTTGAATGGTATGGGGATGAAAATAATGTTCAAGTTCAGACTGCTATCTCCGCAAACGGAGAAAAAAGGTAACTAAATTACTTTTTATTTTACAATTTACTTTTAAGAGTTGGGAATTACCATTTGGACGGCTGGGTAGAAGAACAACAGCTTGGAATTGAAGTGAACGGTTGTTGCTGGCATGGGTGCATACAATGCTATCCAGATGACAACACTGTTCTACCAAATGGTAAAACTGCTGGTAGACAACGTGAATTGGACCAACAACGAATTAATTTCATCAAACTTCAAATTCCCAATATAGAAGTATATTGGGAGTGCGAGATCGAGAACATGTTGAAAAAAGACCGGAATATGCGGCGAAAGTTCGAAAACTACATTGACAACGGACCCATTGATATTCGGGCTAGCTTCTTTGGCGGTCGAACTGGGCCTTTGCGGCTTTTCTATAGACCAAAGGACGGGGAAAGTATTAGCTACTATGATGTAACGTCCTTGTACCCGTTCATCAATGTTTCAACAAAATACCCAGTCGGACACCCAACTGTCCGTATTCTGAATGAAGATGTTTTATGGAATTGTTCCTCTGATAACAAGTACAATTTGGCCATCTTGAAGGTATTTTACAAAGTTAAAAAATATATGAGATATTTTTAGGTTTTTGTCATCCCGCCACGTAAAATAGACGTGCCAGTTTTACCTGTTAAACTGGACGATCGTCTACTTTTCCCGTTGTGTGCAGCTTGTGCTCGCCTTTATCCCAAGGGAAAGGTTGACGAGAAATACAACTGTCAACATACCGATGAACAACGGGGTTGGGTTAGCACTTGCACTTCATTGGAGTTGAACGTCGCACTTGATGAGGTATATTTTTAATATAACGTTAATTTAATCTATTATTTTAGGGATACAGAGTCACTAAATTGTTCCGTGTACTTGAGTACACGTCATCCGACAACACACTATTTCGCTCTTACATCGCCGAATTTATGGCCCAAAAAATCCACGCTTCCGGCTTTGACAGTTCAATTAAAGGTAATACTGATGCTGAGAACAACTTCATCAAAGAATGTGCAGAAATGTTTAATATTAATATCGAGCGGGAAAAAATGGTAAAATATATTTCTATAAAAAATTTTAATTATAAAATTTTAGATCCCGAATAAAGGGAAAAGGACGCAGGCAAAATTATGTCTCAATAACCTTTGTAAGTTATTAAACAAGTTTAAAATATTATCTATTTATTTTAGGGGGCAGATTTTCCCTGAGAAATTTTGGACTTTCACAGTGCACGGTGACCGATGATCCAGCCAAGGTTAGAAATTTAATGGATGATGTGAGCAAAGAAGTGACAGGATTGGATGAACTAACTCCGGACGTTGTGCTCATCAGTCATTTGACAAAGAAGGATTGGATTGAGGAGCATGACTGCTCCAACGTTGGTAAGTTCCAAATTTTAATTCAAATTTTTGAATAAATTTTTTAGTAATCTCCTTGTGGACGACGTCCTGTGCACGTCTCCATTTGCTGAAAGCAATGCAAAAGGTGGTTCGGACCCCCGGGTGTACTCTTCTCTACACGGGTAAATAGAAATTTTTCAAAATTGTAAATAAATTAAATTTTAGACACGGATTCTTTGATTTTCGCCCACCCAAAAGAATCCTGTCCACTTCAACTAGGGCCACATCTGGGTCAGTTCACCGATGAGTACCCAAGACACCGCATTATTGAGTATTGCTCGGGTGGCGCCAAGCAATATGGGCTTAAATTACAACGTAAGGACCAGATGGATGCAGCACCGGAATATGTTCTCAAGATCCGTGGAATCACTTTGAACTGGGACGTTGTTGTCAACCAAGGAATGCAGTATGAAAATTTTAAAGAAAAAGTTTTAAATTTCACTACTGAGGAATGTTCCCCTATAAATATTTTGTACCCAAATTTTCTTAGGCCGACTGTTAAACGAGGTTCTGTACTAACTCAACCTATGAAAAAGAATTATGCTCCTTTTGTCGGCAAGGGTGTTTTACGCCCGAGCGACTTTTCTGTACTCGATTATGGTTTCAATTCTAATTAATTATTGTATCTATTTTTCTATCTTTTATTTTGTAACTTTTTAATTTCATATTGTTAATATTTATTTATTTCAATAAAATTTATTATGCAAAATTAGTGTGAAGAAGTTGTCATTTTTAGGGGTAAAAATGCGGAATTAAGAGAAAGAAGATAACATTTAAAAATTAGTTAATAGAAGTAGTAGATTTTAGGGGGAAAATTACGGAATTAAGAAAACGAAGATAACATTTAAAAATTTAAAAACTAAGATCAAAATTAACAATTAGAAGTTGTCATTTTATGGGGTAAAAATGCAGAATTAAGAAGACGAAGATGAAAATTAGAAATTTTATAAAATTAACAATGAAGTTTATGTGCGCACGTGTGATGTGTACATACACGTGTGCACACATGTGCACACACGTGTGCACAAGTTAAAATTAACAATTAGAAGTAGTCATTTTTAGGGGTAAAATTGCAGAATTAATAAAATGAAAATGAAATTTGAAAATTTCATTAAAGTTAACTAATATGTAAGTGTGCACATACGTGCACGCATGTGTGTTGTGTACACATTACCAACCTTCCATCTCATCCAGCATATCAAATTCTAATGGTTCATCATTTTTGTCCGAATCAGAAGTTGTTGTTTTGTTGATTCTAAGTTTATCAGAAACATCAACATACAATGGTTTATCATTGTCCATAACCGGGAAGCTAATATAATCCTCTTCTTTATCATCAACTAGTTCAAGTAATTCAAGCGGGTAGTAACGGTCCTCACAACGTCGTGGAAACTTCTCAACCACGCATTGAAGATAGGGATAACGTAAACGAATCCTGTGTCGTGAATAATAGTGAGCCGTTACTGAAACGTTATATGGACGAGAGAGTGACCCATAAGCCATTAGAGTATGCGCTCCTTAATATAAACATTAATGTACATAGGCAATGATTAGGAACCTTTATGAGTAAATCCATGAAACGTGAAAGTTTTGCGGAAGTCATTACGGTCCGAATATAGCGTTCGGACAATCCTTCCTTTTAGTTTTGAATGTAGAAGAGCTCGCTTTGCCGGGTGGTTTAAGTGGTCTCGAAGAGACTTTGGGTGGCAATTAAGTATTTCAGCACACTCATCGATTAAATGACGCATTTTGAAGTTAAGAAATTAATGAATGAAATTTTTTAAAAATTTCTTGGCTTTTATACTCGCCCAAATTTTTACTAAATCTTAATATTTAAAAATATTAATTAAAAATTATACGGTCCCTCGATTATGCAGAATATTTTAAATGACAGATGTTTAATATATTTAAGAATATTATTATTTCGTAAACAATTCGAATGACCTTGAGAATATTCATTCCTTAAAATTTTATTTTAATACATTAATTTTGAATAACAGATGTTAAAATTTTGAATATTATTATTCCGTTAAACAATTCGAATGACCTCGAGAAAATTTATTCATTTTTTGGGAACATTTTGGTTAATAACTTTGTTCATCAAAAAGATAAAAAGATGCGGTCTTTTGCATCTGATAGAGTAAAGAATTCTTTAAAAAATGACCGGTCAGTTTTTTAAGTTAGGTCCTAGAAAAATTTTTATAGCCATTTTTCTAAAGTACATTATTTTTCCTAAAATCTCAAATTTTCCAGTGAAGAGAAAAAAAAGGGAAAAGGAAGTTAAACCCAAAAGATCAACACCCCAGAGAACACCCAACCAATTACGTAACTCTGAAATAAAATTTTCTCCCACCCCCTCCCCCAGACCAATTTGTAAAACAAATTGGTTTCACCTTACATCTAACCCCGATCAATTAGTCACTAGTTGACACTTAAATTACCCTTTTGTCCTTTCCCCAAACCAGTTAGTTGCTTAATTGGTTCCCCTCCTCCCTTCCTGTCAGACTCGGCGGCATTTCCCTTTGATCATCAATCAAAGGAGTGGCGGCATCCTTTGATATGGTGGACCCTTCCCGCCCCCTCCCCCACACCAATTAGTAAAACAAATTGGTTTCCCCTTACACCCAACCCCGACCAATTTGTCAAGCAATTAGCAGCTTAGATTCCCTTGACCCCCTCCCCAGACCAATTTGTAAAACAAATTGTTTTCACCCTTCCCCAAATCAATTAGTCATTCAATTAACACCTGCCGGTCATAAAAATGTTACCCAACCCCTCCCCAGAGCAATTTGTAAAACAAATTGATTTCACCCTTCCCCCTCCCCCAAATCAATTAGTCAACTAATTGATTTCCTCTTACACCCAGCACTAATTAGTTCCCCTTACACCCAAACCCCAAACCAATTAGTACTAATTAGTTCACTTTACCCCTCCCGCACTTGTCAACAGGTTCGCGTTAATAGGGGTGGACCCCTCCCCTTAAAATGATTTATGAGGTACAAATTAGTTCGGACCCCTCCCCCGATTAATAATTTATTACCCCGGCGGTAAGATCAAAGAGGATCATCAAAAAGATCAAAAGAAAAAGCCGACAAAACCCCCTTATACCCTTTGGTTTTTGTCGGACCCCTCCCCCAGACCCCTCCCCCGACACCCCTCCTATAGGTTGGCGGCATTTCCCTTTGATACGGTCCGGGGAGGGTTACTACTATTCCCATGTTAGAAAAAAAACCCAAAGGAAGTTAACTTAGATCCTAATCTGAAGCAGGCTGCACGCAATTTAAAAAAAAATCCGCAAACGCAATCCGCAATTGTGCGCAGCTCTAGTCTGAAAGATGCTTACTACCCCTAATTTTTTGGTATCGGAACTAAGTTGAATAAAATTGTTTTTTAAAGAAAAATAAAAATTTGTAAGAATCGGAATAAGCTAAAATGAAAAATACGATTGATTATTCAAAGTAAAAGAAAATAAATGAATATGCGAAAGTTGTAAATATACAAGTAGGAAAAGTTTAGATTGGTTCTTTTCTCTTAGAATAATTCTTTTCCCCTTTTGCTTAAATAATGAAACCTATCCATCCCCCCTTTTACAAAAAAAAATTGGACAATGCCAAATAGCAATGTCATCAGAAAACATTTTTTACTACAAAGGGGTTGGCGTCTTTTTACATCTTTGCCCTTCGCAACATATCCATCTCTACCCTTTTCTTTTATTCCCTACAAAAACCCGCGCCCTTTGGTTCATCCGAATACAAATAATCTAAATAAAAAACGATGGATTTTTAAAAGGAATATGAAACATTTTAAAGGAGAAATTGAAGACATTAAAATTTATCAGTTTAAATAGAATTAGCAATGATCAAGTATTGCTTCCAAAAAATGTCAGAAACTTCCTATTATAGTAGTAGTCATAGAGTAGCTTTTCCTTTTTGCTACATAAAAATTAAACTAATTGGATATAGTTTAGTATACCGGAGTTTTAGTTCCGATATAAGACCCATACCATTCGATTCGTCTCGGCGAGCTGAGTCGAACGGTACCACTCTCCAAGCGCGGAGATGCCTGTAGGCCGAAATATAGGTCCCCGAAAATCGAAAAACCATAGGGGGGAGTCCAATCAAGTCGGTTTTTGTTGATTTTGGTGTCATTCGACTCAGCTCGAGGAGCTCTTTCAAATGAGCTATCACTCGAAAAATCGAATTTTTCACTCCAAAATTGTGCTTACTCCCCCTATGGTTTTTCGATTTTCGGGGACCTATATCTCGGCCCACAGGCATCTCCGCGCCTGGAGAGTGGTACCATATGACTCAGCTCGCCGAGACGAATCGAATGGTATGGGTCTTATGATGGAACTAAAACTCCGGTATACTAAACTACAGCCAACTAATTAATGTTATTTAGAATAGCTTAAGTATAAAAGCATTCATTAACGATTATCAGGATCTTGGTCGATCGAACTTGTAGTTATTATTCATGCTATTTCCACCCTCGTTATTCTTGTTAGCTAATAACTGAATTTATCAGGTAATTATTATTAGCTTAAGACTAAATAGCAATTATCTAGTATTGCTTCCAAAAAATTCTTCAACACCAACCAGCAACGAATATTTATCTTAGAATAACTTGCTTATTTAATCACAAAAAATTAAACAAATT